TAGCTACCCTGTCTACGGTTTCGAAGGAGCAGCTAGTTTTGAGCCTGAACTGCTGACCTTGAGATTCAAAATCAACTTTGCAGTCCAGCACATTAACCTACAGTGCCATACTACACCATATCACTCACTCTCCCATTCTCTCTCTCTCTCTCTCTATATATATATATATATATAAGGTGCTTCAAAAAGTTCATGGAAAAAAATGGAATTAAATTATAATTTCATTTTTGAAGCCTCGTCGTATATATGCATATATACTTAGAGACACATATGCATACATATATGCCAAATATACATACACACAGTCCTAATATATAATATTTGCTGTCTGCTAAGTAATTAAATTAGACTAATATAGACTCTCATTTCAAATTAACATGCTATAATCCATTTTGAAATTTTAAAAAAATGAAGAAATAGCATTCAAATATGAGTGTTTTATTCTTAAGTGGGCCTTCTGTCGCATCTTTACATGGCCTTCCATGATGTGATGTGATTATTTGTGAGACACATCAGTTATCAGCTTTATAATGACTCATACTAAAATGACTCAGCATAAGAATAGGACGGCATCCCAGGGATCCTGGAAGAACTCTCCACTATGCACATGCTCAGATTATATTATTTGCAATATTAGAGTGCCACTTTGTGGCGTACTGTGAAAATTATGGATGTTTTCCATTCATTAGATAGTTTCAGGAAACTGTGTAAGTTATACATGGGTGTGTATAATATATATATATACACCTCAACTTATGCACACATATGTATAGACACATAGACATACAGCTATATTTAACCCTACTGCCTGATATGCAAATACCTGACTATACTATCATATGAAATCCATAAAATTAGTCTGAGCTTATGACAAATTGTATTTTAGATTTGTATAAGTATTTAAGAGATGGAAGAAAAATCAGAGCTAATTAAGTTGGCAGTAAAGTAATATGATAACTAAATACTATTTTAGTTATCTTTAAAAAATCAAACAGTGTCATTCCTTGGCCTTCCAGTAATTTCAGAGGACTGAAATATGAAACAAAAAAAGAAAGTTTTAAAGAAGTATATATTTGTTTTCACTTATGTTGAGCAGCAACAATTCCGTCAGTAATGCAAATGTCACATTAAACCTTATAGCTTTATAAAGTGTAACTAATATACTCCAAATTTCCTGGCATTGACCCTACACCATAAGGAACTTCATCAGAATCTCTAACAAGAAAGGAAATCTCTTCTTTGTAGAGCCCCTGGTGCAATGTAAGAATCATGTGAGAGAAACAGAACCAAGATGGCTGCATGTCATCTAGTACCAGGGAATGTTACTTAGCAACATGGAAAAACACCTCTCCACTAATGAACTCCGTCAAGGCATAGTGTTTACACCTCATAATTCAGAAATTAGATTCCAAATAAAGGTAGGGTTATTGGCATTTCTAATAATGCCAAACTGTCTAGCACATTTCAGATGTATTATCTAATTTTGTAAAACGTGTGATTTACTAAAGAAATTAATTTCTTTCTGGCATATCTCTAAACGAATGTTTCTCTGCAATGGCTGCTATCTTCATTTCACCATTTGTCTGAGAAATTTGTCCCCACGTTCCACTTCAACAGAATGGTGGGTGATATAGCATTCTACTTTAGCTCTCCTATTTTAGCCTTCTTGGTGAGTGATAATCTATGACAATATTCACTGATATTTTAATTCATCTGATGAAATAAACACAATATGTTTTGAAATGCAATGCTAGTAAAGTGATAATAGATTTCATTAGTTAAGTCCCACAATTTTCAAGTAAGGTGTTTTGTTTTTTTTTAATCACATATGTGAAAGGTTATTACACTGACAACAGTCTAGTTTTTAATAATGAAATAAAATCGCTTTATTTGTGAATAAGACTTTGTTATCTATTACAGGAGGATCTAGCTGGTGTGGTGCTGTAGGATAAACACTCAACCACAAGGTTAGTATGAACTTCAAGAGCAGAAGCTTAAACTCACCAACCACACCTCAGACACCATATAAAGGGTCACTATGGGTTGGAATCAACTTAATGGCAATTAACAAAAACACAGTATCTATTACAAGTTCTGCAGAAAACTAAATTGGTTGATAAAACTCCTTTTTATCTAAGGCTTAATAAGGAAAATAAAAAGCATATTTCTAGTTAGAATCATACAGGGGGCATATTACAGTTGAATTGGTTACACCTTTATGAACAACAACTTATTAAATTGAAATGTTACCAATTTCTAATAACCAAAGGGAAGAGGAATTAGAACGAGCAAACTCAAGCTAGTAGTTTCTCAGTTCTGTGATTTCAATATCACAAACTTAAAAAAAAAAATCATTGTTTAATTTTCAACTTAATTGCTCATATCTTAGATATGCATGGAAACTAGATTATGACAGAGTTCCAATTAGCAGAAGATAAAATCTTACATTTTTAAATATGTTATGTTATAACTATGAATCCTAATGTAAAAAATGATTTAATCTAATATTTTTACAAAAAATATACTATCTTGAAACTTCAGAATAACAAATTATAAATTATTTTATATGTAACATTTGTTATCATTTTGTTTGCTCCTACAATTTAAAATACTACTTTGGAAATATAAAACAAAATGATTAATTCAGAGGTATTGAATTTGGGAGCAATGACATAAAATTGTAACTCCATGTTACAAGCAAATTCTATGTTGTATATAAAACAAATTCTACATGCTGTTTTATCTTATAATGTCACTTAAACATAAGTCATTATTGACGGTTTATAGGCTGGAGTCCTGGTATGGTGCCATAGGCTAAGCACTGGACCACAAGATGTGTGAAACAGAAGCCAGGGGGTCAAACTCACCAGCGGTTCCTTGGAAATCCTATACAGGGCTGCTATGAGTGAGAACTGACTCCATGGTGCAATAGGCATTTAATTCATACATTTAATTCATCCTTTTAAATAAAAGGGGCTGCAAATGTGAAATCACACACTCAAAATATTTTAGAATTTTAAGTTAGTTAGGATTAAAAGCAATAGCTTTTAATGAAAAATCTTGTCTTTTTCTAGAGATAATATACCTAAGGAAATCATGTATGGTCAGTCTCAAAATATGTGACATCTGTCTCCACCAAGTGGTCAATTTTAATATTGTTCATTTTCTAAAGTTTTACCATTTCCTGCACTCTGTTACAGATGCTAAATGCAAATAAATGTATTCATGGTAGTCTATCTTTGAATTTTTTCCCTTTAGTAAACAGAAATAAAAGTTTAAGAAAAGTAGTTTACATGATGAAAAACAGACATATTATGATTTCCAAGAGTGAGGCTATCAAGAGCATTTCTACTTTCTTTGTCAATATTACTAGTAATGTGTTGTAAAAATATTATGTAACTAGAATCCTGAAGTTAAACTCGACACCATGGCAGTCCATTCGGAACATCTGTATTTAAGTGCATGTTGAGCTTCCCTTAGATTTTCATAGCATATATTGTAATTATTACCGTGAATCTGTATTACACTTTCTAGGAAAGTGATCAAACTAAGAAAGTTGGTTTTCTGATTGAGAACTACCATCTTCCCTCTTCCTAGAAAAAGTATAATTCTTCAATAATATGTACTTAGGTCTTTAATTAGCGATTTTATATTTTGAAGTCAAACTTCTGACTTTCAAACTCATACACCCCTCTGCCCCACCTCCCCCTTCAATTTAAGAGCTAAGGATATTGCTGGGATCCAGACGGGCAGCTCTGCTCTGAAAAGCTTTGCAATGGACTACTTCTCTCTATTATGAGTGACATAAAATTTCACAGGTGAGTCAATTTATAGTAATTTGAAGCATGAGAAAGGGAAAGTTGTCTAGTTGGACCCTCTGTTTGAAACAAGATGAAATTACGGTGCTGTGGGTTAATGTACTGGACTACAAAGTGAGTTTGAATCTCAAGGTCTCCGGTTCAAGCTTACCAGCCACTCCTCAAAAACCCTATACAGGGTCGCTATGGATAGGAACCCACTTGATGGCATTTAAAAACAGCAGCGCTCTGAACCAAAACAAATCCTGCATGGTTGAATTAGTCACACCGAATTTGCTAGCTCATCTATACACATACTTGTGACATTTTAATCTCATGTCTGGTTCATGGAGCATCATGGAAGGGACTAATTAAAGTTCTATTGGTTTGAAAACACAATCACACTGCTTATAACAATATACATTAAAGTGAGTTCTGAAAGGATTCCCCTTGGATTATTCACAAACTGCACACATCTAGCCTAGCAATGTGCATCATATCAGCCTTTATTTAAGTTCTGGCTTTGCAGGTTATAGAAAATTATGTGGCATGTACTTAATTTATAAACTGCCTTTAACGCAGGTTTTCATTAAATGTTTTTTTCCTTCCCAGTAATGTTGTGATTTAGTATTTCAATTATGCACTATTACAAGAAAATAAAACAAATGTACATAAACTCTCTCTTTAGAGAAAAACAAGGTATGTTTTTAATATGTTTGTGTTTATCCAAAGATAAATACCTACCATTCTTTTTTTCTCAACTTTCCAAGTGTCAACCTTAATGACTAAAAATACTTATGACTTTCATGTGTTATTAACTAAAATCTGAAGATTCAAACAGGTTTAATTTGGCTTTATGATTTCATAACAAATTTTTAGAAAATCTTAAAGAGTCACAAGGAACTGCTATTTTATATGTATCCTGGGAGAAACTGCTTTTGAGAAACAGAATTTATAGATGGGTATGAAATTATCCACTTTAACATAAATGAGTTTATTTCTTTAAAATGTTTTTCAGATTAGAAAATAGCTGGAGAAAACTTGGTTTTAAGAAGGGTCATTTGAAGATAAAAGGAGAAAACTCCACGGAATACATTCCTATTCCAAAAGCTGTACCACTCATCAACTATTAGATCTACTGTGTAATTTAAGAGACTGGTCGATTACACTTGCACTGTAATGATGTAACAGGAGAAAACTTACCTTTTTCATTTCCATTTGCATAATTTGGAGGCTTGTTTTTGTCAATGCTGTTAAAGCTCTGACTTCTCCTATTTAAATTAGAGGCTCCCTGGACTTTGTTGCTGCTGCCTGCAGCTGGTACCCTAGAGGGACCTGGAAGCCTGAAATAGTATAAGAAAAATTACATCATTATTATACCTTATGAAAAGATAGGGAGTATAGGTGCTGATCAGAGAAAAGTTAATGTGAAAGTCTCACTATAAGATATTTTAAAATCTATTCAGCAGAAAGAAAATAGTAGTTTAAGTGACAAGTAAATAAATGAACACAAGGTTTAGGAATGTTTGTAAGAAATCTTGTTTCAGTTTATAATAAATATGTTCCCAAAGTATATTGGTAATATAGAACAATTAGAAATAAAATAACATTTAACTGAGTGGTGATACTTACCTCATCCTCCAATGAATAATACTCTATCTTAAAGGGACCATAAAATTACATGAAAAAAGGGGGAAAAATAACACTTATCTTTAATGTGATATTATTTTCAGAGTGGTATTAATCAGCTACCTGCATTCATTATAAGGAATTATTTTCAATGACTAGTTGAAAGTTATGTTTATTTTTAGGTAGCTACATTCTAGGTTAATTTCCATATTATTTATGATAAGAATAAAGATGTTAAATGAATTAGAACCAGCAAATATTTACTGAATATCCAAGCTACTTTAGCTACTCTAATTAAAACATGATGCAGAGTAAAAGGTCAAAGGTTAATTCCTATTTAACTCACAGAAAGAATCTCATGCACTTGCCAGATATATGATCCAGACTTCAGCTTAATATCTTACAAATATGGCCAAATTGATCACAGAAGCAAAGTGACAAGAAGAGATGCAGGGCTCAGAAAAACAATCACGACTACAGAATGAGAATTTATGTCTATAACGACAGCAGCTTTAGCTACTCTTTATGTGTGACGGAATATTTTATCATTTGAAGAATCTGACAGGCTATTGTGATCCATAGCAATTTTATTCTTCCTATAACTCAGTATCGCTCTGTGTCACTCACTTTACTCTTTATGCTGTTTTCACATCAAAAACTCAAGTACTGTATCAATCATTTTATCAAGTATGCCTAAAATGTGTAATTACAATAAGTTGTGTTTCTATCACTGACTTATTTTGCATGCGCACAATAAACTCAATCTATTTAAGAAACATAAAACCTGGAATAATTTGAATTAAGAACAAACACAATGTTCTAAGATCTATTTAGAAAACATGATATTGAAGATTTCCAACATCTTTGTTAGTATTTGCTGCCACCATGTGAATGCCACTATGTACTACTCTAAAAGCTTCTATTACTAAAGAAAATAAACAAAAGCAATATGAGTTTACAAAAGCAGCACTGTGTTCTTAAACAGTTCGACTTTATATATTCTAACAGAGAAGTCTGCATATGTCATATTGATATCAACCACAAAGTGTCACCGGTTCACTGTTATTAATGCTCAGATGTTTAACACCCCTTTATTTTATCTGACTTTATTTTAACCATAGATTGTTATATATTAAATGCTTAGTTAATGCAAATACTTTTAAAGAATTATGGGTATTGCAAAATGGAATGAACAACAGGAAAACGTAGATGCAACTTAAAACCAGAGTGTTGTTTTCTTGGAATAGTTAATGGCTTAAAAATGTTCACTGTAGTTTAGAGATTACATACATAGGCTAATAAATGTTTCCTTTGGTTATTTTACTAATTAGAGATTGTGTCATACATAGGATCAGAATCTTTTGCATATTATCCCAGCATTTAACCTCTGGGCAAAGAGTTTGTACATGTAATCTGATAGCCACAGGCGCCAGGCATTGGCAGTACTGGTGACTGGCTGCACTCTGCAGAAACAACTAATTAATCTGGTCAAATGTCCCAGGCATAATAAATCTGAGAACTGTTCTTTCAGATGTAGCCACAGACATAGAAAGATCACTCCAAACTACATGTAGAAATAAATTTTGTTACAAATCTTGCCCTGTTTGCGATGAAATTTGACCTGTTCCTAGCAAGCAATTAAAATGTGTTTTTATCTTTACTGTGACCTATCAAGCCAAGTGATCTTCAGTCTACAGAAGAACAAATTAAAGCAAATTTAAAAATCCATTTGCACTTCTCATTAGCCTAATTTGACAGGAAGCCAGGGCCTTCAAATCACTCATCAAAGTAATAAAAAGAGAAATGGAATGAAGCAAAATCAAAAAGAGAGAGTGTGAGAGAGAAATGTTCTATTAAAAATCAAGTACTTAAAGTTATTTTACATGTACAGGTTTCAGAAGTGGCAATAAAAGTTCATTGTACAAGGCAGGTCACTGTTTCTTGCACATCTAATTTATATAGTTTATTCTGAGTTTTAATTAAAAACCCTTTTTCTTTGTTTTTTTTTGTTTTTGTTTTTTGTTTTCCTTTCCAGAATCATTTAAACTAAGATGGAAATTAGCACATTAGTAAATCCAGGTAAGAGAGGCACATACCTCAAGTCAAGGCATCGGAAGCAGTCTTTGTGGTCGAGTATTAGCTCATATGATTTATAAGTTGAACAATGACTGCTAACCCACCGCTGACATGCCTCTGCAGTGAGTGCAACAGCACATGTAATCACATAATACACAAAGGTGCAAAAACTACATTAGTTGTGGCTTTAGTGAACTGACCTATGCCACCATCTTGCCCTCAGCAACCTCATATTAAAATAATCAAAAGCTTTAAAAATATTTTCACATACCAATATTTTCCAAAGAGTACATATTGCACTGTAGTTTTATATGAAAATTCCTCTTTTAAATATTATTAACATAAAACAAATATTTAATAAAGGCAGTCCTCAGGTTATGAACAAGATATATACTTAAGTGCGTCTTTAAATCGATCTTGTAGGTCAAATTGGTACAGGTGTGTACGGTTCTCATTTAGTCTGATTTTAGTGTTCAAAACCTTTTCAGTGATTTAAAAGCTGCACATGGAGAAATGAATGTGATTATGATGAAGAATTTGTTGAGAGTATGTGTTAGTTCAATAGTTTCAAAGTGAGAGCAAATTTACATAATATTAAAAGGCAAGTGCAAGTTATCTATAAGTCAGAAGTTGGTAACCCAGAGATCACCTGCAGGACAGGTAGAAGAACAGTCTAGGCTACTCTGATGCTATCTTGCCCATTGAGGTGGTCAGTGTGTGTCAATTCCATTTAAAAATGTATAATAATTAATGTATATCCATCTCAAAAATTAATTATGATTTTGTTCCATAACTTTTAGATCTTGTGACCTGGAAAGAATGGGACTTTCAAAGTTAAAAACAAAAACAACAATACACAAACAACAACAACAACAACTAAAAACTAACTTTGCTCTAAAACCAGAAGTAGACTTCAACACAGTCAGCTTTGTGTATAACTAACCTAACATAGAAATAGCCAATATCTTTCTAATAATCTGGCAAACACACTCATCTCTGAGAATATGTGGAAATCTGCTCAGGAAGAATTCCTGTCATCCAGAATTGCATGACTTGTTTTTGAAATGTAGAATGCTAGAACAAAATATTACTGGGAATTTACTTGAAAACTACTAACAAGTAATAAATGAGAGATATTAACTGACCTAGTAGGCTTTTTCTGACTGGTTGCAATTCCACTGTGATTAGACTGAGTTGCATATCTGGCTGCCAGACTGTATGAGGAGAAACAGAGAAATTGAATTAAAGAGATTTGTTGAACATGGAAAGAAAACACAAACTTACAAGAATACTATGAGTTAATGAAATGCAGCAGAACATGTATAAAGAACAAATTAATTAGAAAATTATGATAATGCAACATATATATAATGACCTGTGACTAAGAATGCCTTATGAAATAATGCAGTACACACCCCTTGAAATAAAGTACCATTTCTGACTTTGAAATTGTGGCTGCATTATCCTATATTATCCTACAGTCCTGGTGTTGTGCTGAAGGATAACACTGGACTGATAACCTCAAGGTCGACTGTTCAAACCCATCAGTCACTCTTGGAAACCCTATACAAGATTGTTATGAGTCAGAACCGACTCAATGGCATACAACAACAATATTATTAATATTATTTTTTAATAGTACCGTTTTCTGTTTAAATTTTTCATCTTCTATACCTAACTGAAAGGAGTCCTGGAATGGTACCATAGGGTAAGTACTAGACTGCTAACTACAAGGTCAGCGATGCAACACACAAACTGCTCCTCAGAAACCCTTTAGAGGGTCACTATGAGTTGGAGCAAACTTCACAGTACTTAACTTCATGGTACTTAACAACATTGTTGTTGTTATTAAGTGCTGAGTCACACAGGTGGCTGAAAACGTCAGAAAAGTTGAAGTTAGACTTACTGATAGAAAGATCTTTTACTCATAAAAAGATTGAAGTTAAAAAAAAAAAAGTATAAGACAAGAGTAATTTCTTTAATAAACCCATCTAATTAAAAATATATATTATTGGTTTTTATCTAATTAAATTGTTGTTGGTTCTAAGCACTTGAAAGAAATTTTTACAGGCCAAACAAACAAACAAAAAACCCACCATTTTTTCTAAAAGTAGATCTACACCAAAAATGGAGCTTCATACACACACGTGTTTTTTTTGAAAGTGTCATTGAGTTGTTTCCAACTCATAGCGACTCTGTATAGGGATTCCAAGGGGTGGCTGGTGAGTTTGAACCACCAACCTTGTGGTTCAAATGACTTTGCTGTCCAGTGAATTAACCCACAGCGCCATGCCAGGACTCCATAAACAAACAGCAAATACTTAATGCCAATTTCGGAACACATCATAGCGATATTTCTTAATGAATGTTTAAATTAAAATCTATGATCAAAGACAAACTAGAAAGTAGTATGTAAACCAGGTTACATGAACAACAGAAATGTCAAAATCTGTGCTTTTGAATAGCGGTTTGGAAAACACTTAATGGTATACTAGTAAGATAAAATCTAATTGGTACACTTCCTTTAAATTGTTGGTCAGTAGCTCATTAACTTATTAAAACAATGCAAATGTACACCTTCAAATAAACTGAGCTCTGATTTACTTAAAAGTAAATTAGTTCAGAAATTCGCTTTCTGAAGGATACAATGACAATAGTGTGACCCAAGACATTTTCCTGCACCCTGTGATGGATATGGGTGAAGAAAGAGTTGTCAGGTGAATTGTGGATGAGTCTATAGAAGCCTGATTGTTCCATCTACAATGTTAAGCTCTCCAAGGAAATAGGGGCAACTTAGGGATGTTGGTATCAGGAAAAGGGGTCAATTTGTGTATATCTAGTAGTTAATTTACTACCAAACAGAGGGAATTTTAATCAAGAGAAAGAGTCCTTAAGATGAC